CATCCTCGTCCTCTCCCCCACCCTCTCTCAGCCTCGTCGTCGCTGGCCTCGCCTCGACACCCCAGCCCTGGGGCGCCGCCAGAGGCGGCGCGGGGGAGCTGAGGAAGCCACGGACTTCTCAGGGTCAGCGCCACCCAGATGGGTGCGGCAGATTCGTGTGGTGACGACCCCGAGGATCGTTCAACCTAGAATGATCGGCGGCTTGTCGGTCGCCCGATCGTTCCATGTTGGCCGATAACATCCTGCTGGATCAAAAAGTGCAGACTGGAGAGGTCGCGCGAGATGTGCGACGATGATCCCGTTAAGCCCTGGGGCCCCGGTACAATGTTGCAAGGACCAGCCCAAGGATTCGCCAGTCGCTCAAGAAGGCGACCGGAGAGTGTCTTTGGAGGACGTATTGGGCGGGATCGCGATTCTCCGGTTCCTCCATCCTCGCATTTAACATTATAATCGCCAAAGTGGGGTGAGGACCGTAGAATCGCGATTACACCCGACATGTCCTCAACAAACACCTCTCTGGTCGCTTTTCGGAGCAACCGGAGAATTGTTCTGGCAATCGGAGAATGGCGATTTCGCTTAGAATTTCCTCGGACAAAAAAATCTCCAGTTCCGTTTCCAGCCACCGGAGAATGGTGATTTCGCTTGGATCCTCGCAGCCACATGTCCGCCAGAAAATTCAGATGCCGCGCCAGACCTCCGCGTTCAGTTCGCGCGTGCACCAGCGCGCCGACACTGCGTCCAAAAGTCTGCGCGCGAGCAAACGCCGATATGAGTGAGTCTGACCATGCGGCTTGATGATGAGTGGATCTGCGCGTGAGAGGGCCAGTGGGTGCGTCGAAGTACTCTCTAACGGGGTCCGCACTTTTTAATCCAGCAGGTGGTATGAGTATGAGCCACTGGCGGCATTCAACCTCGAGCGCCCGCGGTCGGATCGAGCGCCCGCGACGGGATTGCCGCCGCGTCGACACGACGCGACCCTGCCGTACTCAGCAGACGGGGACTTTGGTCGACGCAGGTGATACCTTCTTGCCGCTTTCCTGCGCCGTCCCGCGCGAGTGGCGCCTCCTTGCCAGCCTTCTGAGTGCTGCCGAAGTGTCCGCTGCTGGGTGCCCGCCTCGGTTGGGCCCCCAGAGGCGGCCTGTTGAAGCCAGCGGTGACACTCTCTGGTGGCTGTCTGCGCGCAACCCCCAAAGCCACTCCGCTTATCCTCCTCCTACGGCAGCTACATCGGCGACACGCAAGGGAGACCCTAGGCAATATTGCTTGCCACACTCTCCTCCCGCGTCGGCTGCATCGGCCCTGCGCAAGAGAGACTCCAAGCAAGATTGACGGATTGGTGCGCGACATGAGGAGGCCGCGGCTGGGCCAAATCCGGGCGCGCAAGCCAGTGCTGGAGGGACCAGTGTGACCCATGTGGGCAGGCACCGAAAATCACTCTGGCGAAGGGTCCCTCTCACAAGTAACCGGCTACATCGGCTCCTCCTCGCGCGTCGCTACGGCGCAGCGGCAACGCTTTTGGCAACTTCGCCGCATGCCGCAGTGCAAGTCTGGTCCGTTTCCTAACGAGCTCTGCGGTGCGCAGCGAGGCGCAAGGGGAAGGCGAGGCAGCGGGAAAGGGGATGGAAATGAGGAGGATGAGGATCGATCGATCGAGCAGTCGGGACAAATTTGGTGCTTCTTCGCTGCGACTAGCTTCGCCATGCACGACGCCGCGTAGCCCGATAACCCGAACGACGTCGGGCTAGAGGAGGGGAGGATTCAGAGCGTGTTTGGTGTGTGTTCCGCGGAGTAACGGCCTTCACCTGGCCCGCAACGTCCAGCGCCGGCGGGGTCCCAGAATGTCTGGCAATCTTAATTGTTCTGGGACATTCATTCCCAAACCACGCCCGCGGGCACAAAACGTGACGTTACAAGGCCCCTCCACCCCCCCGCTGCCCGCTGCCCCCGTTACGCCGGGAGGATAACAAGACGGACTCAAAAGAGGGGAGGAGAAGAAGGAGGAGGAGGAGGAGGATGAGGATGAGGAGGAGGAGGAGGAGGAGGAGGAGGAGAAGGAGAGGAGGAATGAGGAGGCAACTCCTAGGAGGCCCTCGCGGGAATGATTGAGGTCTGTTAGGCTGATTAGGAGACCCTTCAACTGGACTCGGACAGAACAGACACCAGACTAAGCAGCAATTGGACTGAGAGGGGAGGAGGAGGACGAGGAGGAGGCCGATGAGGGCAATTTCTCCGAGCCACACCTGGGCGTGACGACGAGGAGTTCCAGAAACGCCTCGAGAAGCATCCAACACAACGTCTTCGACAACGTCGTCGTCGTTGTTATCGTCTCCGTCATCGCCGACCAGGCGGATGACCCATGACATCCCTTCAGGATGACAACTTTCTCCGCCCAGAAGCATTTTCAGTATCTGACGGGACTGGAACCAAAAACATCCCCGAGATGCGTTGGAGGTCTGAAGCGTCCTCCCTCCAAAAATCGCCCTCCTGACCCTGACCCATC